AAAAAAACACCTGTTTGAAAACAAAAAACAAAAACACTTTATAAGTATTTTGAAGTTTCAGTTTAAAGTAAATTATAAATTATTTTATAGTATTACGAATTGAAAGCAAGCCATATTTACTCACCTTTGAAGAAATTCCAGAGTTGAAGCCAGCTCAGATGGATAATGGATGTTGAAACAATAGTAGCTCCCGAACATCAGGCACAATGCAGAAATGAAGGAGGGGATGTTTGTTGATAAGGGTCTGATCGAGACTCAGCATGTACCTTGTTGAGGAATAGCATGACTGGCCTATTAAAAAATCATTGAACAAGGTATATTYTTAAGTGCTACACTCACATGATAAAATCCATAGTACAATTTAACAAATTAGATATGAAGCAGACTTACCACACACAACGATGGTTGGTGTTAGAGGCACTTGCTCCAGTTGCACGTCTTCTGCCAGACTTTTTTCATCTACCGTATTTTTCGTACTATAAGCCGCACCTGCCATTTTCTTAAAAAAAAACAGCGAACATTAGCATATAAGCCGCACCGGACAATAAGCCGCACCCCAACATAAAAAACAGTACACACAAAATTGTCATCAAAAAAGTGAATTCAACATCAAAACATAAAAAGCAAACCTTTAGGAATTAAAGTTCTGAGGAATACGGTTCATTTAATTGACCTTATTTTGGTAGTTTTCTTTAACAGTTTCTGGTCCAACAAAACGTCTCATTCATTGTCTTCCGGCGCACTGAAACCATCGAAGTCCTCCTCTTCAGTGTCGGAGTTAAACAAGCTGAGAAAAGCTGCGTCACACAGCGATATCTATTCAGTGTTGCTTTCTGTGTCGCTGTCCTCCCATGGCAATGCTGGCTCTGAAGCTGTGGTGCCCTCTTCACGTAGCAGTCCAGCCTTTCAGAACCCATTGGTGATGGTGGACTCATTCACTCTGCTCCACGCTGTTAGGATCTACTGGCAGACATCAGGAAATGACGCTCCGCATTCGGCCAGTTTTTGTGAATGATTTATCCCCGTCAGTCATCCAAGCCTCCCATTCAGCCCTGAGTGCTGCTTTAAATGCACGATTCACACTGATGTCCAGGGGTTGCAAAAACGTTGTTGTACCTCCAGGAATAACAGCAGGAATTGAGTTTGTTTTCTTGATGGCTGCTTTCACCAAATCCATGATGTGGGCCCGCATACTGTCCAATATTGTGTCTGTTGAAGATCCGTTGTGTCATGTCTGCTACTAGCTCAAACAAAATGGCACTACACCTCCGGCTAAGCTGGTAGTATGGTTGCTTGGCTGTCGACCGGTCGACCCGTCCTCACGTGGTTGTTCGACGTTCGTTTTCGCACTGACCATTCATAGTTCCCCCGAGAAACCCCGAGCCGAGCTGCTGGGAAACCCCTCCCGCTCCAGCATACGTCACTGCATGGGATTCCTTCCCCGGGCAGTGCAATGTGGAAAAAAATTGTCTGCGGCTCTTCACTTGACGTTTATCCACAAACTGGTCCTCGATTAAGCTCCAAAGTTTTTATCAGTCAGATTCCACTGTGAAAAATGTCTGTTTTATCCCCTTTTATGAGTTTTTGGCCATTGACTATCTTTAAACCGCTGCTTCCTGGTACAATGTTAGGCTCTGGAAGCGATCGCTTTTTTCTTCCTTTTTTTCCTTTCTTTTTTTGAAGCGAGTGGTTGAAGCAAACGCAGCATAAGAGCCCCTGGTGGCTGCAGAAAAAATCCACGTATAAGCCGCACCAGACTATAAGCCACATGGTTCAAAGTTCAGGAAAAAAGTCGCGGCTTATAGCCCGAAAAATACGGTACGTAGAAGAATATGGACTCCACCTTCTCATCTAAAAGCTGAGAAACAGGACCATCTCTCTTTCATCCTCTAAAGTCTTGCGTAGGTCTAAAGGACCTTCTTATTCTACTTGACACAAACAGTGGTCAGGTAGTTGAGGAGTCTTTTCCCCTTTAAATCCAAATTGCATATGAATGTCTCTTTGAGGTTGATCCCAGTGAGTTCCTTGAAGTGGACTGGCATGCCAATTTCATCAAACAAAAATGGCCACTGCTCTCTGAGGCACTTGATACTTTTACCCTGGTTGACYTGTTGGCGCTGTGTGTAAAAGGTGGACTTCATAAGACCCTTCACCTCCTSTGGATTGGCATCAGACTGTTGCAACATCACCTTGAGTTTTTTCCATCTTTTGCTGCTGGCTTTCTTGCGTTTCTTCACGAGGCAGGAATTGTACATTCCATTTAATGCATCCGTAAATGTCCTGCATTGCTGCTCTCTCCTCTAATGGTATCTCATCTGTGTCGTCTGAGTTACTCTCATGTTTTCTCTTCTTATTTGGGGTGTTGAAGTGTGCCTCACATTTTCTATTCTGTTTTGCAACTGTTTCACAAGGGAATGGTAGCCTATGCCTACAATGTCTCCCTCTATGACATCTTGCAAAGATTTGGGTTATTTTGTCACCACTTTTTTTGCGACATCGGTTGAGTGCTTTTTACCTACGTGAGGGCATGTTTCCATCATCTCAGTCACAACAATCDGGACCATCTGTCTCCTGAGTTTTGGGCCTGGCCTTTTCCCCCTCTCCAAAGGTTGCATCAGTTCCTCTGGAAATTTAGTCCATGGAATTTCAAAGTTGTCCTCCCAGTGTGTGTCAAGTTGTGGGCTGCTGGACGAGGTGGGTGATGAACTTTGGGGTGGAACTGATATCAATGACAGTGATTGGGTAGGAGAGGCTTCAGACGAAAGTGAGCTGTTCTCAGGAGTCTGGTCTGTAAATGACAGAAAGGAAAAAAAAACAGATTTACAATGTACAATATAACAAGATGTCTTATGCCTGTTTAGAACATTGTGCATGGGGCGCCAAATGTAAAATAAAATGTGAAAACATTTCACTAACACATTTTTTATTATTTAGATCATATACCGAGTGTTAAAATTTTCTAAAATTTTATTATTCAGCTCACTGTTCTTACAACGTTGCTAACTTTTGCAAAGTGTTACATTCAAATCTTAAAAATATATTTAATTATGATGTTATCATCCTGAGATGATAGCAACTGCTATCCCTCCAAGGGCTGTGTCCAAAGCATGGGCCGGGTCCTCTGAAGGCTGAATTCGTCGGCCGTATACGTCACAGTGCCACGACGGAGGCCGTCCAAAACCGAAGACTCCTCCAATGCGGCTGACAAATGCGTCTTTCCTTTGGCCCAAATCAAAGGACTGGTCTGATGGATCCTTCACGGCCCAGCATATCCCCATAATTCATTGTGGCCTGACTGGAGAATTTTTTATGCTAGTAATGGC